AAGGTTTGACGAACTCTTGTCGTCCGCGCTACAATCAAAAGTGTCAATGTCGTCTTCCGAGCCTGTGCTGTTGTCTTCATTTGAGTACTTCAGCTCAGATGCACGAGAATCTCCTGAAATTCGGCGTTTTCGTGAAGCGATCACACGCGACGTCAACACCATGATTGAAACTATGCACGCTCACTCGCGCGCATAGAAAGGTGCTTTAAAATCACTACACAATTAAAGAAGAGAAGCATTTGGTCGCAGGAAACACAAAGGTCGTGGGAGAAAGTCTACGCAGTTGTCAAAACCCTTGGTTGACTCCAACGAACGATGTGTCGACGCTCCGCAGCCGTTCAGTGATGGTGCGACAGAACGTGTTGCCTCCGTCGACGATGGCGATGAAGTGAACTCCGGGCTACAGCGAATCAACGCCAAGGTGGTGACAGACATCGAAGTCGAAGGAAATCGTGCCCGTGAGAAAGCGACGCTCAAATGGCTTTCATCGGTGCCAGCAACAGCACGGAAAATTTACTCTTTCACCGCAAGTTAAAGCGAGGCAACCACACAGGACTCGAACCACGCTGCTTCTTATCTGCTTAGGCATATACAGTCAGGCCCGCTTATAACGAACCTGAGCGTGATGTGGCATCCGTTCGCTGTATCCCGAAGTTTGTAGTAAATGAACCACAGCTTTTAAAAAAAGTTGCGAGTGAAAACACAAACTTTTTTTGCCCCAAAAAGATGCGATGCACGTGTTTCGAAGAAAAAAAGCGATAAGGGCGGTCTCGAGTTCATTTAAAATGGCAGGGTGCTCGTTCGCCGAGGCCCCTGGCATAAGCTGCATGAGGCACTGGCTCCAAAGTTTCATCGTTCTCGCAATCCGATTCCTCCAAATCAATCTCGCCACGTACTTCATTCACAATGCCCCAATTCGTGCATGGTTCCGCAGTGTCGGCATCATCATCGGCTGAATTAAACCATCGCAACAGATGTCCCACCCGCTCTCCCAGATCGGAGTCGACGACGCGCGGCCACAAATCGCTGCCGCAGTTCAGAAGCTTCCGCAGTTCAGAGGCCCGACGTCAATGAAGTCGGCCTCGCGAAAACAGTTTCGCATGCATGTAGCCGTCACCACCAGCCCACGAAATATTCACCATCTCCACAGCTGAATACAGGGATTCCCGAAGCGACAAGTTGGCTGCCAGGTGGTCAACAGCTATGAGCAAGCGCTCCGCAACGCGGAACCTAAAGCGCTGATTACGCTCGAGCCAAGCTGTCACACTTTCGACGTTTTGTTAAGCGGCACGAAAAAGCGTGCTAGTACTCCCATCGGCCATCATGACGACACACGCACACCAAGAGCGAGCAAGACGCACACACGCAATACACATGCCAAAGCGCGTAGAACAGCTCTAGGCCCGTTTCCAGTCAGAAAACGAAACTAATTCGAGCCAGCGGGGCGGGCGTCGCGGAGCGGCAGAGACGGGCGAAGGGGTTGTGATCAAGAGAGGTGAGCAGACTTGCGAGAGAAGGGCAAGGAGTTGCGACAAAGAGAGGGGAGGATGCGGCGGGAGGGCGACCTTGAAAACCAAAACACCCGAGAAGGAGGCAGGTGGGGTAGCTTGCTTGAAAGGTCTGCGAAACTCGCACGTAGAAAAACTTGGAATGAGTGCATGGCCGTCTGAATCGGTGCGCGCGGCGGTGTTCGAAGAATCGGTGGCCGTGGTCAAGAAATCGTTTCGTTGCGCCGGTGGGTTTGTGTGGCCTCGCGAACTTCGATGTTTCGCGATTCGTTTCGCGCAAATTAACAGCCGTTTTCGCGCTTCCACACGCACGCTGAAGGCATGCTGAATCGAGTGCGAAGTGAGCGAGAACAAGACCTAAGCATGAATAAATCGCAAATTATCAGAGTTGGTGGGGGAGCGTACACGCGTGCACTAGACGCAGATTATCGGATACAGTTGGACGATTTTGGCAAATGGTCTGGTCACTCCTGGCCGGCGACGCCAACGACAGTACCAGAGATCAAAAACAGGGTAGATGGCCGACCGGTCTTCGAAATATCGGTGGCAGTGTGAAAACACGGGTCTCGTCTGGCGATGCGGGGTGCTCAGAGTAGCGGGGGGACAAAAGACGGAGGGGTGCGTAACAGAACGCGATCGGGGAGAGCGGCAACTAGAGGGGCGCAGAGGCAGGGTCGGTGTTTAACAATAAGAATGTATGGGCACCTCGCCAGATGCCTGATCGGTGGTCGAAATCGGTTTCCCGGGAAGTCTGCAGACCTGCGGACTCCATTCGCTGTAACCGATCAGCGGCACTCGAAGACGTTCATTGTAAGTGCAATTTTGTGCCATTGAACCAATGTATATTTTCACAGTCACGTGGATATTTTTCGTTTTAAGCGAAAGTTCGTTTTAAGTGGGGCCGTCATATGTGGGCTCAACTGTAGATATGCTAAACACGATAATGGATGCCTTGTGTTGCAAAGCCTGCCATGGACCGGACTATCGTCAGAAGGACCACGGACTTGCAGTGAAAGTGCTAGTGCAGTGTCGAAAGTGCAATGAGATCGCGAATGAATGTATTTCGCCCCGTGCTAACAGCACAAAAACGTGCAGTTCGTTTGAAGTAAATCTTCTTGCTTTGTGGGCGGTGGTAGCTACCGGCAACGGGCAAACGAAAATGAATAATATTTGCATGACAATGGGCATCTCATACCGCAGTATGCACCACGAGACGTTTCAGCGGCATTTGAAAAGTACGTTTGCACCCGCTGCAACGTGAGTGGCTGAGTTCGCTACGAGCGAATGTGCGAAAATGTTACTAGAATTTATGAAGACTTGTGCTTTGGCCGCCGGGGCAATATTGCCGTTAGCTACGACGGCACGTGGAAGACGCAAGGTCGTTTTTTCCAAATCGGCGCCGGCACAGTTATTGAACTATTTAGAGGCTACCTGTTGAACTACGTCGTTCTTTCCAACTTTTGCCTAGGCTGCGAGGTGGACCCACAGAGCCTAATAGTGAGAGCTATCAAGAATGGAAGGCTAACCACAAATTCCAAAAAATACGAACAGCATAGCAAAGTAGAGGCAGCTTTAATTCTATTTCAGAGGTCGCTTGAACGCCATTGGCCTGCGCTACACAACTATACTGTCTGATGGGAGACTCTCGAACATTTTGCCCCAAAAAGACGCCAAGGTGTGTGGTTACATCGGCGTGCAGAAGGAAGACTGCAATAATCATGTAGAGAAACGGATGGACACCGTGATAAGAAACGTGGTGCAGAAACAAAAGTGCGTTGTGAAAAGAGGCCTTGGTGGGAAAGGCAAGCTCGCAGGTGCACTGATTACCAGGCTGAGCACATATTATGGCCGAGTTCTCAAATCCTGTCAAGGTGGTGTGGAAGAGATGCAAAAGGCTGTGATGGCCACATACCGCCACGTCACCTCCACTGATGAATGCTCGAACCACAGTCTGTGCCCAGCTGGTGAAAGTTCATGGTGTCGGCACAATGCCACAAAAACAAAGGGTAAGCCCAAACCCAGGCATGCCTACAATCTACCGAAAGACGTGGCAGAGGCATTACTACAAGTTTTTACCCGGCTTTCATAAGCTGCTATGGAGGTGCGAATGCGGCAAAACACGGAACTCCAAATTTGAAGTTTGGCACCAAGGAGCACCATGCGTTGCTGTTTGCTATTGAAGCAGCCATTGCAAAAGCAGTTCTACGCTTCAACACGCAATTATAATTCTGCAACGGCAATCTTAGGTGTCGCATTAGATGTCGCAACGGCAATCTTAGGTGTCTTAGGTGTCGCACCAGTGCTTGTCGCATTCATGTCATGAATGCGACAAGCACTGGTGCCAGAAGAGCAAGAGAAAAAGATTACCGTCACAGCATTTTCTCCAACAAGAAAAGAACAGCCTCATTGGAACGCCTAAAGATAGTGAAGAGGGGGCATGACCACAGAATGCATTCAGAATGCTTCTGGTGCATGTTTAGGTCGTCTTGTTGCATCTTCTGCAATAAAAATGTGTGCCCACGTTTTTTCTTAATTTCTCAAATCGTCGTGTGCTTCCCGTTATACCGGAGCAATGTCTCTTGTTCTATCTGGGTTATCATTACGATTTCTTTTATGTTTTGACGATAAATGCAGGGGATGTGTAGTAAAGTGCGTTTTATTGTACCAATTTTTTAGAAAACTCTCCAATTGGATCGTTTGTTTCTAGTGCAGATGGGGAAATTTTTCATGCCATATTCAACATCCCACAACTTTGCTGCGAAATAGCCCAGAACAATAATTTATACTTGTGACGAGCGATAACAGACGTCTTCGTCTGTTATCGCTCGTCACAAGTATAATGTCTCGCGCCTTTGCACGAGGAAAACAAAGTAGATCGGCGCCGAGCTCACGGGCGCTCGAGGAACGTGGAATAAAAAAAAAAGGTCTAGCAGTCCCTTCCTGATCTTCGAAGAGTGTGGATGTCCTTCTTAGGCTGCTTCGAAACCCAGTATATCCGACGGCCACAACGGCATGTCACAGTACTTTATTTCACACTGTGAACATCCTAAATCTGTTCTATAAGTTTCACATCACTCTGCAAGTTACAGTTAATTAGCTAGTTAGGCCTAAATTGAAAAGTGACAGTTCATTATATCTCTAAAACTGATTTTCACAGTAAAAAAAAAATTAGATTTTCGAAATCAGCAGTAAAATCCACATAAGCTTTCCAAATTTGGCTGAGGTGCTCGCAAAAATAAGAGTTTTTGGAAGGTGTAGCATCTCCCCATAAGTGGACTGTCCCTGTTTTGTCCGTTCTGTTACTTGATTGCTGCCGATTCCAGAGAAATGACAGAATGGAAACCATCACTCAGATTTTTGGCTCATTTCTCGGAAGAGGTGCAGCACTTGAATGTGGCTGGACATTTCAAAGCAGATAACAAATGTTATTCTTACAAACACCATAATTACTTTTAGACTGTTTCTACACTGTGACATGCTTCATTCTTGCAGGATGACCCACTCAAGGCACAAATGAACAGCTTCATCCTGTCTACAGCCAACCAGCAAGAAATTCAGGCTCTGGACAACAAGGTGCGTTGTTGCAAGCAGTGTCCTTGAATGTGCTAGTTGGCGATGCATTATTGTTTGATGAAGCAGCGCACATAAAATGAATGCAACTGATGCTTTGTTCTCAAGAGATCTGCCTTGTGTAGGATAACATCATGCGCACTGACAGCGGTCAATACCACGATAAAGAAGTATGTGATAATACAAGCTACAATGAACGCCGCTTCAAGGAAATTTCCGCTGCATTGAAAAATTCACCATTCCCCGTCAGCAGTTCGTAGGAGTCAATGCATAAATATTGTTGCCACAATTTTTCTTCGATCGTCTCGCTTGAACGAAATTTTACAATGTAATTTCAGGCTCGGGCATTTATTTTTATGCAGCAAACCCAGTCTTTAACATTTTGATGCATTTTCAGAGCCTCAAAATACATCAACGAAATCTAAAACACGCGTTGGCACCTGCCAGAAACTGCCGCTGTTCAGCAAGCATGGGCGCCACTGGCTTGCTTTTGACACTGGCTTGCTTTTGAACCACAGGCGATCTGAAGCTGAAGCTCAGTCCCTCACTTCATGGTTTTCTTCACACAGCTGCTGGGTGCAACCGCGGAACAATGCCTTTTCTGATGCTTAATATCATGTTCGCGCTTGGCCAGTGTGGTAACTAATCAGAGCGACCGTTTGTCCGTATTAACAAAATCAGCTAGCCGCGAGTGATGGATGATAAGAATGGCATAGAGTAATGCAAAAGTCGTCGCTCCACGATACCCTGCCTCCGTCTTCGCGTTGTTGGATACTTTTGACGACGGACAGCTGCTGGTGTTAACATGTTAATGCAACTGTTTCGTTTGTTCACGAAGGCGATTTTAGGCATTGTTTCAGTGTGCTTTTCACCATGGCCTTGCTATGCACTAGTGAGAATCGCATTGTGACGCTTCTGGGAAAGAATATGAAGCAGCGGACATTTTTTGAATTTTGAGAATAAACATTCCTTTGTTTTGCTAGCTCAGATCAGCTATATTTTTTCGATTTCACTACAACAAAACTTTCATTTCAATGAAATTTTTTCCGCGCCCTGTCAGTTTTGTTGTAGCGGGGTTCGACTGTATAACAAGTTTAGAGAATAATGCTGAAAAATGTTGTATTTGAAATGTTTCTTTTCAAAGAAGTCCTGGAATTCTCACTTTTCATGAAAATCCAGTGATTGTATCTCAGAAAGTTTCATTTCTGTTTCATTTTTATGCAAGTTTGTTGAACATGTGGCTCACATTCATACAACATCATGGCCTATCAGCCGACACTTGGAAATATTTGGCCACAATGACACTGGCTTGCCCGGCACATTTCCAGTTCCTGTGTTACTTCTAGGTGAGAGAAGACATGGCATCACTTTTTAAATGTGTGGCAGTGCTTTCATTCCTACGCCAAACTGGATTTACTTTGCCATCCTAATAATATTGATGGAAATAGCACCAGACTGCGCATTGTCTCAGGTTTACGGGTGCCTGTCACCGGCAATCACACCACCACAACACGTCAAACCATGTGCAGCTTGATGCTCCGCCGTGGTGGTCTAGTGTCTAAAGTACTCGACTGCTGACCCGCAGATCGCGGGATCGAATCCCAGCTGCGGTGGCTGCACTTTTGACGAAGGAGAAAATGCTGTAGGCCAGTGTGCTCAGATTTGGGAGCACGTTAAATAACCCCAGGTGGCCGGAATTCCCGGCGTCTCTAATAATCATATGGTGGTTTTAGGACGTTAAACACCGCATATCAATCAATCATGTAAAGCTTTGATAACAGGGTCGCCAATGTCGCAACCACAGACCAAAAATTATTCCATTAAATAAACAGTGCCTGCATATGCGGCCCAAGTAGGCCACGATGCCATGCATGGTGTCAATGCAGCTTCTGTTGTGCAAGTCAGCTCCTCGACAAAACGCCCTATCTGCACAAGCTTATGTACTCTAGGCCGATTGCTGGCAAGAAAATGGGGGGGCCGTTCATCAGTGAGCGTTGTGTTTTAGAAACAGTGCGGGTAGCTAATGTCAAGCGTCATGCAGCACATAATTCAAGCGATTTTCACGAATAACTATGCGTGTGCTGTTAAATGTCTGTCATTTCTGTTTCTGGGCGTTATAGAATGAAGCTTGGCAAGACCAGCCATGTGAAACGGGATCGGGCTTTCTGTGCTTCACATTCATGCATGCGAACACTGGGATCGTATTCATCCAGAACAGCCTTTTCCTCATTCTTTCCACTAGCACATTTCAGGTTTGTAATCATTCTTGCAATAAATACTCCCTAAAAGGCTCTGCTCGATTGAGCTCGTGAGGGCTAGTTTTTTCAATCCGAATGTTTGCTTGCTTTTTTTTTAATGTCATCTCATTAACTTTTTAGGGTTTAAGCCATACATGTACGGCATTACGTTCATGTTCAGAATGTGTGCCTTTTTAGAATGCATATGCTGCCACCTTTTGGGAATGTGTGGAAATTTTTTCATGCATCAATGTTTCTCGTTCTCTCTTTCTTTGCAAGGCAGCGCGCCAGCTTTCACTCAACACATCCAAGCGTACACGCAGGGCTAATTTTGGTTTTGTTCTTTGGGCTGCGCTTAACAAGGTCTACGCGGCACTTTCGCTTGGCACTGTGCTGAAGCTTCTCGATTGTGGAGTTGGTTCGTACTACTTCCTAAGGTAGCTGGCTGCAGGCCGCCTCACTCTCATTAACATAAAGGATGTTACTCCGCAAACACGGGAAATAGTGGCACTGTGCGCGCAAACATCGAGCCTCTTTGGTGAACCGCATCACAAAACCAGCCTAGCAAACCTAATTTTTAAGGAGGCTCATGTGTAGTGGGCCTGTCTAAAAGGTGCCAGCACTTATGCACTGCATTGCTACACTGCTACTGGCAAGGCCTTTAACAGTTTTCGAGGTAACAATACGCTGCTACTCGTGCTTCCGATTGCATGCATACCATTGCGTTCCCATGTCCCTTGGACATGGCTTTCTTTTTTAAGCTCGCGCATGTGCGGCATGGTGAAAATAAAGGAACTATGCAGCCACATCTCAACGTGCGCAACATGGTAACATATCTCCTTTCAAGGTTGACCCTGTTTGCGGCGTTTCCAGGTGCGGCCGCTAAGTGGTGAGCGCTTAGTAGAGTCGCGAATTGCTGCTTTCACTCTGTGGGGTCAGTGCGAGCGAAGCATACATCAGACGTAGTTGGCACAAACAAACACATACCGCATAAGTCGACTCGAATATAAGACCCCCCCCCCCCCCCCGCTTAACTTTTGACCTTGAAATCGGGTTAAAAAAATCTAAGTAAATTTAAAAAAATTTTACTCATCGACGAAACAAAAAATTTGTTGCCAGCAAACTACAACTTTAAGCCTTCATGTGGCAGTGGTGATTGCGCACTTCACAAAATCTTCACGCACCATGCTGTCTGGCTGTTCGTATCAAGCATCGGACGCCCACTGTGCCACAGTGCTCGAAGGAGCCCGCCTCACATACCCCATCAGCATCTGGGGCTTGTTGTCGTGGTCCATCCAGTCTTTGTAAAGTGCCGCCACCCGGTCCTTAAGGGGAGAAGCGGGTCTTTGAGACCGAAAATTGCAAAAAAAATACAATTTTTTAAAAATGCTATATTTGGATTCTCCCACTATTGCTGCATGATCTCGCCAATTTCCACACATCTTAGATTGGTAATTTTCACACATCTTAGATGGGTAATTTAGCCATGAGAGTAATTTCTGCAAATTTAGTGAGCTGAATTTTTGGCGATGGACATGTGAAAAATAGGCTTTTTCGGCGCCGCGGTGTTGCCGTTCTACGCCTGCTACAGCAGTCGTCTTGGTTGCATTCGAAAAAGCCGTTTTCTGGCTATGTTTTAGACTATGTTGTCCCGTCAAATTTTTGTGGCGGCTGCAAGCGCGCACCATTGTAAGAGCACCCAAATTACTTGGTTTGGGAGTCAACGCACATCTACCAGAAAAATACGAAAAATACACAATGCGAATCAGGGCACATGGAAGTGAAGGCAGCAGTCACTCTCTTTGAGCGCTCAATTTCCCGTCACGGCTTGCAGTACACAGTGATGCTGTGTCATGGGGACAGTAGATCATTTCGTGCTGTTGAAGACTCGACAGTTCACGATTTCATACAGGTTCAAAAAGAGGACTGTATAAACCATGTTCAAAAACGAATGGGTTCTGCTTTACGCAATCTTGTTCAAAAGCATAAAGGTTCCGGTGAAACACTAAGTGGAAGAGGCTGCTTGACAGAAGATGTCATAGAGAACTTGTCGAGATACTATGGCTGGGCTCTAAAGTTCAATGTTGGTGATGTAGATGTAATGCACCGGGCAGCCATGGCCACATATTATCATGTGACATCCACTGATGAAAGGTCTGACCACACCTTGTGCCCAAGTGGCAGTGACTCATGGTGCAAGCAGAACGCTGCTGCTGCAAGGGGAGAACCGCTACCAAGACACACCTACAACTTTCCGCAAAATGTCCGTGATGCACTACTTCCAGCCTACGAACAACTTTGTGATTAGGAGCTGCTAAAACGCTGCCAAAGAGGCAAGACACAAAATGTAAACGAGGCACTCCATTCTGTCATATGGTCTCTAATGCCTTAAGAAAAAGCATGCTTCACTCATAGCTGTTGAGACTGCAGTTGCTGAGGTCGTAATGTGCTTCAATTCAGGAATGAAAGAAGCCTCCTCGCGTATCCTCAAAGAACTTCAGCTAGAGCGAAACTCCATGAGCGAGCGACGGGCAGAAGAGAAGGATTCTCGTCGGATCATGAGTGTCGAGCGGAAGCGTTCAGCATCTTCCAGGTTCCTGTAGCAAGCAAAGCGGCGGCAACGACAGAAGTGTGACAAAGACTACTGCCCTGGTGTTTTCTGAGGCATTTATATGCAAAGAGAAGCATTTTTGTTTGTGTAGAATTCCTTGAATATTTGTTTTTTGCCGTTTTCTCAGATTCAGTTTTTTGGCCATCTTTCATTCTTCTGACAAGCGCTTCTCAGCTTTGGTACGCTGGAATTTCATAATTTTTGTCGTGCTGAGAAGGTGAATGCTTAGTGAGTGGAAGAAAGTGCCATATGCAACTATAGGACGCCATAAATTTTTGTAAAAAAATTAAATACAAAATTATCGTTCTTTGATAGTGTAAGGATGAACTTCTAAGCTTCATAGCTTTTGTTGTAGGAAAGCCATAAAACTTGGTTTTTGGACTCTTTGCTAATTGTAGAGTGCAATGACATTTAATTCGGCAAGATCAGTACAGCCAATTTACTCTGCATTTCCGATGGAAGCAGAAATGTAGGCCTGTGCGCACAGATTTGGGTGCATGTTAAAGAACCCCAGGTGGTCGAAATTTCCGAAGCCCTCCACAACGGCGTCCTTTATAATCATATGGTGGTTTTGGGACGATAAACGCCACATATTTATCTACAGCCAATTTACTGAAAAGGTTATCAAAAGAACTTTTAAACTATGACTAATTAAAAACGAAACGGTAAGAGGTACATGAAAACTGAGTTCATATTTGACATCTGCACATGTAAATACATGATCTCATAAGTTTTCATCACCCTAGCTTAAATAATAAGATGCCTGATCGCTAAGTGCCTCTTCCCCCCTAAATGGCTTGTTGAGGGCCACCTTGGGCGGCTGTAGCACAGGGGTTAAGCCACCCAGGATTATCGCCAACTGGCAATCTGCATTGGCCACTGTACCCTCAGAACCCTCAGAACAAGTCTAGCACAAGCATGCTTTTGGGCCTGAGAAGACCGCCTGGGCGCCAGAGCCAGACGAGGTGTAACCATTCCAGCACAGTGTCCTCCTTGAAAAGGCCCTTCTCATTGACGTGAACAATTACCTTAGGGGGAATTTCTCATTGGCCATTGTCTTTCGCTTGAAAACAATAAAAGGTGGCAGCTTGTGGCCGTCCGCGGTGCAACGCAGCTATTCATAGAACGATTGTGATCATTGCCAGCAGTGATCAGGCGCACTTGCCCCTCACCTTTTGCTGACACGGTCTGTTTGCTCGGCATATCAAACCAGCCAGGTGTTCGATCGGCGTTGCCGATTTGGCCGAGAGTGTCAATGTGTTCCGCCTTCTGTTCACTGATGAAGTTCAAGAAGGCTTCTTTTTTTTTTTTTCGGTCATATTCCTCAGTTGGCTTTTGACAAATAGTCGTGCGCCGCCTGAGGTTCTCGTGCCGATTCATGAAATTAGTCACTTATTTCTTAGGAATTCTGAATTCACTGTGAGGGATTTTCAATCCATTCGCAACACTGCAAGCCTCCACCTAAATATTTGGATAAGATACGCTCAGGCCTTTCTCCAGCTGTTCGCCGACCTATTTGTTGATAGCTTCTTTGATAGCAGGGTATTCGAATTGATGTGTGGGGACGTCTCAAAACCGCTATACGATTATGAGAGATGCTGTAGTGGAGGGCTCTGGAAATTTTGACCACCTGGGGTTCTTTAACGTGCACCCAAATCTGAGCACATGGGCCTACAGCATTATTGCCTCAATCGAAAATGCAGCCGTCGCAGCCGGAATTCGATCCCGCGACCTGCAGGTCAGCAGCCGAGAACCTTAGCGACTAGACCACCGCAGCGGGGCGATGGCAGGGTATTTTTCTTCCTTTGGTCCCCAGAAGAATTTTTGTGATCCCGCGCACGCGAAAAGTTTATTCTTTTGTTGGTGGCAGCATTGCACACATTTCTCCGAGGTGCCGAATTCACGCTCCACTGAAAAGTTGCTTGTCGATTCGGCGTCAAGAATCACTTTTTGCCTGAACGCGGCACTGTAGCAGCGTTGATGCGCTGGAGCCATTTTGATGCGGACGAGAGCGTGAGTTTAGTCTAGCGCGAGCTTGCAAAAGAATGAACGCGCACCGCTCGTAATGTACTCCGACGCAGGTCGCGAAGCGATTCAAAGCCCATGCTAAAGCCAAAGCTCTTCGTCCGGCCTTCGAGAATCATTCATACAAGAGGATCTCTGAAGGCTTCATTCGTAGCGTTGATCCACCTTACCCTCGGAAAACTTAGTACCGTACTTAGAAAATGGGTAAAAATAATTTTTATTCTTTTTGCTATAATATGAATATAAAATAGGCGCATAGTAACAGACGTAATCGTGCCCAGAGAAGCAATAAACGAGCAAGTAACACGTGCAACCACTAGCCTTCAGCTTTCCGTGTGCAACCACTAGCCTTCAGCTTTGCGGGTTGTGGCAGAGCTAT